CTCTTGTAATACAGACATTCAATCCGTAGAGGTACTAGCCTCAACTTGACCTTGGATGCCTCACAGGGACTATACCATTTGCCCCTTTCTTGTTTTTTATAGCTGTTTATTAAATGTAGTGGCACTACTATGTTGCGAATATATCACTATTATTATGTTACGATGCTGTGGACTGACCTTTTAAATTAAATAGCAAAATTGCTCTTTCCTGGTTTCAAACCATCCTACCTACATAAAATTATTCCGTACACTTCTAAACCCATTATCAGTTTATCTTCTCCCACTAGAAAGGGATGGAATTTTTTATCAATTTATATTAACGAAGGCTCTGATACTTGTCATTTGCCTCACTGCAACAAAAATCTGGTAAATCCAGGGTACAGCTAAGCATCAGGGACTTCAGAGAGCACTCAGTGTAGAACTGGAAACGACCCAGGGGGTACACCCTGTTCTTGAGTGAGCTGAAATCAAACTTCACCACACTTTTTTCTTTACTCAACTAAAAATACACAAGATCTCAGAATTTTGTAAAAATTATGAGAAAGTACTTTAAAGTCAAACAATTTGACCTCCCAACCAACTTTTTAAATAAAAATTCCCCAAAAATCTAGACATCTAGTTCTACATCTCACCAAGAGTTAGAGACATAAATCTGCATTTAGTTTCAGCTGAAAGTTATCTATTAATTTATTTTAAAACGATATTTGCAAATGAACTACTGCACATTTTAAACTTCTAAAAATCTTGGATTTTTAAACCAAAAACACTATGCCAAAAATCTATAAAACGGCTTCAAAGATCTTTAAACACTGAGGTTGGATTTTTTGTTTTTTTGCTGAAAATGAGGTTTTAGAACAGGTTGTGAATTTTATTTGAGACAGGGTCTCACTTTGTTGCCCTTGGTAGAGTGCCATGGCATCACAGTTCACAGCAACCTCAAACTCTTAGGCTTACGAGTTTCTCTTGCCTCAGCCTCCCAAGTAGCTGGTACTACAGGAGCCCACCACAACACCTGGCTTTTTTTTTTTTTTTGCAGTTTTTGGCCAGGGCTGGGTTTGAACCCACCATCTCTGGCATATGGGGCCGGCGCCCTACTCCTCTGAGCCACAGGCACTGCCCAGTAATCATTGTTTAAGCAGGCCCAGGCTGGACTCGAACCTACCAGCCTTGGTATATATGGCCGGTGCCCTACTCACTGAGCTATGGGTGCCAACCCAGGTTGTGAATTTTAAAGTATCTGATAATCCCGCAGCTGGCTCTAGTCAGAAGATATGTGAATAAATGGAAGACAAGGAAAGCCTCATGTAGACAGTCCTACAGAAAAGAAATCCACAGCCCTCGGGCTGCACTTTGATTTTCCAACTCATCCCACTAAATCTCATCACTAGACTGCAACATCTGTCACTATCAAAAGCAGCAGCTCACTGTAATCCCAGCACTCCTGTAATCCTAGTACTCCTGGAGGCCAAGACAGGAAGATCACTTGAGGTCAGGAGTTGAAGACCAGCCTAAGCAAGGGTAACACCTAGTCTCTACTAAAATAGAAAAATTAGCCTGGTGTGGTGGTGCATGCCTGTTGTCCAGCTACTTACAAGGCTGAGTCAGGAGGATCACTTGAGCCCAGGAGTTTGATCACTTGTGACCTATGATGACCCCACTGTGCTCTAGCTGGGACAACACAGGAAGATTCTGTCACTAACAAAAGGGGAAAAAAAGCAGTAGCCAAACCAGTATTCAGGTACCTTATTACCTCAATAGGAATATCAAAAAGTAACTTTAAATAGAATGCATTTCATGATTTTATGTCCCTGAACATATGATGATTAGGGTTGAAAGGAGGAGACAGATGTTCCATGAAGTCAGCATTCAAGGGTGAACAGATGCTCCAGCACTGAGATCATTGGCCCACTGAAAATCCTAAACTGGGGATAATGTTTTCCTTCCAGATATAAGACAGCTCAACCTGGGGTCTTGACCTGAACACAGGCTGTGGAGGGAAAGTAAGTTTTTCACATAAGGAGACAGGAGGTGGAGTCAGAGAGCCATTACACAGCCTGCCCATAATCCAATGACCAGGGCCTGGGAAAAGCAGGAGAGGGGAGGAGAAGCCACCTCTCCTGGTCTAGAGCAGGGGTCCTCAAACTTTTTAAACAGGGGGGCCAGTTCGCTGTCCCTCAGACTGTTGGAGGTCTGGACTACAGGCCCCAGGACAAGTCAGTTGCTAAGCAGGACAGGCAGCGTTGGCAAAAATACCCTGTGGGCCAGATAAATGTCCTAGGCAGGCCGCATGTGGCCTGCCGGCCATAGTTTGAGGATGCCTGGTCTAGAGGGCAATGCTCCTCCCAGTAAAACACTCAAAAGAGTCAACAGGGCACAGGAAAGTGTACCCAGGGCAGGGCTCTGCACAGCTGGAGGCACATCCCTGGCTGGGCACTGCATTCCCATGTGAAAGGAGTCAGTGACCAGCTAGGGTGGAGAGCAGGGTGGGGGGAAACAGAGACCATGACCAACCACAGTCTGAAACCCTCGTTCTCTACTCGTCTCACCCACTAGGTTGCTTTTAATCACTGCTGTTGCTTGGTAACAGAATTCAGCAGATTTGAAATGGACTTTTTCCTCCCACTGTCTAGATAAAAACAAGTAGGGAAACAACCAAAAGATAAGGCAACAGAAGGAAAAGGGTGTGGAAGATCCGAGAAGGCCAGAAAGCCACTGATTGTTTCCTGACTGAAGCTGTCTGAGCAAAGTGGCCACAAACGCCGAGCTCCCTGATGCCACCTACTGGTGAGATCTGGTACAGGCCTCTGACCCTCTCTGGCTGTCCTCTGAGGTGATGGAGATAATACCATTCGCCTGGCAATCAATCACTGTGAGGGGCAAATAAGATAAAACATGGCAGCTTCTACAGTGCCAGGCATAGAGAAATATGTTAGATACATGAATGCTCAGAGACATTCTTTCTGTCCCCAGTTATTTCAGGGATTAAATACTAACACCTACCCTTTGCTGAGAGTTTATGCTGGGCCCATGCTGAGCCCGTGACACCTATCCCACTGACATGCCACAATGATGCTTCAGCAATCACATCTCCACCATTTTTAAACAGATGGGCAAACGGAGGAACCAGAGGATAAGTAACTTGTTCAACATGACACAATTAGCATATGACTGAGCCACAGCTCACACCCAGTCTGACTTCAAAGGGTACATTCACTACTACTATGACATACGGCCCTGGTGGCATCTTAAAAGGTAACTCGGTCTCATGTCCTACAAATTCAAGTCCAGCCATGGAGAGTCAGCCCTCTAGGTGTACTGCTCCAGGCCGTGGGAGCTCTTGGTATCTAGTCAGGCCTGCCTCACATCAGCTGAAGCCACAGCCCTCTGAGATCTGAGCTGTTTCCAAAAGGCACCTGGAATATGAAGAAACCCCACAAAAGCCAGAAAGTAGCACACAATTTCTCCCCGTGGCTGAATGTAGTTAGGGACCTCCGCCTATGAGAGGGTGCTCTCTATAGCCTAGAAGGCGCCTGGGAAGACTGGCTCCTCCCTCTGCCCCCTGAGGCCTGTTTATACCTCCCCAGCTCCCAGAAAACAAGACCAGAGTTCTTAGCCACAGTAGGATAAAAAGAAGTTCAGCAATCAACCACAAACTAGGAGACAACGAGTGGGCCTCTGCCTTTGGTTTGGAGGGGCCAGAGGAGCCGCCCAAGTGAACCAGTCGGCCTGGGATAAAGAACAGAAAGGCAAATCCAAACAGATTCATTTATAGGGTGACTATGGAGGTCCTGGAGTGCCAGGCGTCCGGCTAACAAAGCAGGACATTCATGAGCAGGCATCAAAGAAGAGCTGAGAGAGAACACAAGGGAACAATGAACATCCTACAGACCCAGGAGGAACCTTCCAGAAAGGGAGACTGGCAGGAAGAGCCAGGCATGAGTGACACATGTGAAGTGACATAAAAAGACATGAACTATTATAGAAAAGACACAGGCTTGGTAGTGAAAAGTTACAGGTGGTACAGACATACCAAGCAACACTGGGTCATAAAGGTGGCTGAAGCTGGGGCACCCAGGCTCCAGGCTTGGCTCTGCCTCAGCTGTGCTATGGTGGATCTGAAAACTAATCTGGGCTTTGCTTTCTTTCACTGTGCAGTGGAGGACAAATCCCTGCTTCATCACGAGGCTCTCATGAAGACCAGATGAGACCACAGACACAAAAGCACTTTGTGGTTAGGCATGAGGCTGCGATATGACCACCTGCCATCTACGGGGTCCTCCCCAGTGCCTCCAGCACAGGCTGAAGTGCAAAGGCGGGGTCTATGCAAAGAAGGTCACTGGGCAGGCGTGGCTGCTGCCTGCTAGACCTACAACAGGGATTGTTTCCCTGTCCACTTTCCCCTGGCCCTGCTCCGGAGGAGAATGGAAAATAAGATCAGTTTAAAGGCAAGCATTTATACACAATGAAGAAAAAAACAGCTGAGAGCAGCAAGATTTTTCCCCTCTTATTGGCTCCTGTCCAAAAGGAAATAGCAGTGTTCTCTGCTGCTGCTTGGTTCTCTCTCCATCTAGTGCCAAAGGGTCACAAGTAAAGAAATGAAGGGAGAGGCTGGGGATGGGAGCAGGAGATGGAAAGAAAACCCAAGATAAAAGAACTCTGCACCAAGAGTTCAAAAATACATCCCACAGTCAGGCGCAGAACCAGAATAACAGGAGGAATGCCTGGGTCGAGATTAAAAACATATTAATATATCATCAAAAAGTATCCATTTTCTTCTTCCCTCCATGGCCAGGCTCTCTACAGGCTTATGTAAGGCAGAATCCCTTGTTCTCAGACATGGAGCATGTCTGACCGATGTGGGACACTGGTGATGGTTTCCACACTGAAAGATGGTTTCCAAGTGGCAAAGGACCTGTTGACCCCAAAATTCTGTCTCCTATTGTTGTACTCCTGCAATCCCTGATGGGGCCGCCTAGGAATTGTTGGCACCCAAGGCTTATCTGCTGCTGCTTTAATAGCTTTTTATTTATGAGAGATAACATCCAAAAAGGTACTTCAGGAAGATTCCAACCCATAAGATTCAGAACAAAACTTGCTTCTCTACTGTGCTACAGACATTCAAGTTTGGGAACTCATCACTGCTTCCAAAAGCAACCCTTGAATGTTCAAATCACAAGCAACACATTGCTGCAAGATACAAGGCACATGTCTGTAAGACAGAGGTTTAAAAGATATTTACAAAACTGTCCACCAGCTTCCATACACAGTGCTGTCCAAAGCTTTGCAAAATTGGCTGTGCGTTATGCAAGACATGTGGCAAAACACTTCTTCACAGCATCCCTGGGAAAGAAAAAACACAAAGATGAATGGAACGTCATCACCTCAAAGGCCCTCCTTTAGAGTTTCCTTGGTACACAACAGCAGCTGCAGAATAGAAGGCACCTAGACTGAGGAGGTCAGGCCCACTTAGCATCAAACCACAGCTTCTACATTTATTGGTAGCTTGATCCCGGGTCAGTTACTTAGTCGCTTTGAGTTTCAAATGCCTTATCTGTAAAAGAGGGTTGTCTCTCTTACCCTACAGATTGGTCGTAGGTATTAGTGCACTGCACAGAGTAGGTGTTTGATAAATGATAGCTAATTGGTGGAAAACATAAAGTATAGGCTGTCAGAAACCAAGAAATTAGTCAGGACTGCTACATTTTAACAGCAGACACAATCATAATCATAGACAGCATTAAGTGGAGTAGTCACAAAGACCTTTCTTCAATGTAACCAGGCAGCAGAAACTTTTTTTCTTTCTTTTTTTTAGAGACAGAGTCTCACTTTGTAACCCTCGTAGAGTGCTGTGGCATTACAGCTCACAGCAACCTCTAGCTCTTGGGCTTAGGCGATTCTCTTGCCTCAGCCTCCCGACTAGCTGGGACTACAGGCGCCTGCCACAACGCTCAGCTATTTTTTTTGTTGCAGTTTATCTGCGATCAGATTTGAACCTGCGACCCTCGGTATTTGGGGCTGGTGGCCTCCTCACTGAGCCACAGGCACTGCCCAGGCAGCAGCAACTTTTTTAAGGGACATCTTTCAGGAGCTCCCTAACCCAGAAAGCTCTCTATGGGAACAGAATGCTTATCAACATGCTGTAGTAGCCCTGCATAGGCATTTCCCCCGTGGACAAATTATTATTCTATCCAAGCAACACCTCCAGTTCCAGCCCCACACCTCCCTGTGCAGCATGGCGCCTGTTCCTTCTGTGCTCTCAACTGTGCTTGCACTAACCACGAGGGAATCCCACAAGGGAGGAGGGAGCGGTGAATAGCACATTTGCACAAGCAAGCACTGCACTTTAATATCAAGATGATGCCAGGCAGGACCTCTTCACAATAGTCCAAAGAGATGTGTGAGAGAGAGAGAGATGCAAAAGAGAAAAAGAAGGGTTCTGTGGCCACATGAGTCCCAATCACGGCTCCCCATGGAACACTGTGGGAAAAGCTATTCTAGGGGAAGTTACAAATACAAGGGTAGGGTACAACCTAGCTTTGTGAAATGTCCTTACTATAGGAAATTTCCATCTGCTCGGCACATAAAACTCAAATAGAATTACATCCTCCTGTCAATCACTTGTAGAGAAGTTTTACACATGCCAATCCAGATCAAACCTGCAGTGCAGCAGCCTGTATAGCCTATGGCTAGGAGAAGTAAGAATTCTAAGAAATACCTATAGCTCAATAATGGAACACCTTGGTGAAAAGGGCATGGAGAAGGATTTAGCTCTCCTAACAAGCATGAGAGAGCTTGTCAGATGAGAGCATTAGTGAACTGGCAGTCTCTACACCTGTGTTGTTGAGAGGCACGAGATCAGCCTTATATTAGGCTGGAGGAGGAAGCAGTCGGGATCGTGCGCATTCTATCACGGACCTGCCTACTCTGACTCTGTCGCTTCTCCTGCCTGCAGAACGCCAGCACAGTGTCTTTCTGCGGAAGATCACTAAGCTCTGCTAAAGACTAAGCTCTATCTTTCTAAGAAGACTGCTTTACTCTCTCAAACACTATCTCTCTCTTCTCTCCCCCTCCCTTCTGCTAAGGTAAATAGCCCTCAGGCACCTAAGAGCAATTCTTCCTGAGTGAGATAACAAAATAGCGACCAGAATACCCGGGCTTTGACACTGCAGCCCTGAAGAGTGACACCACCGGCCTTCATGGATAGGACTTATGCAATTGAACTGGGCTCTGTACTTAAAGGGTCCACATTGAGTTTAAGGCTTTGATGTCACCATCTTGAAATTCTCATATCATTTTCTAGCAAGAGACCCACATTTTCATTTTGAACTAGGCTTTACAAGTTATGTTCCTGGTTCAGGCACCTATTATATTCAAATGTTGGTGGGCTGGCCAATATCTCATTGGACGCTCAGCTGTGATAGGCTCTGGCTTACTTCACCCAAAAATCTAGCTTTCTAGGTCATCCCTGTGCATAACCTTTTTGGACAAGCCACTACCTCCCCAACAAGGCCAGGTCTGCTTGAAGCATTCCCTAACTGTTTCACCCTCCTGGAACCTATCCATAAAGCCACCCTTTGAACAGTGCCCAACCTTTGACATTTTGGGCTTATTAGCTTCTCATCTAATCAACCCTCAGCACTTTCAGATCACTCTCAGCAAGGGAGTTGGAATGCATAACCCCTGAGATCCCTCTTCCTCCTTCCCAGGTCAAGCATAATTTTTCATTTCCTCCATACAGTTAAGGAAAAGCTTGTTTTTAGTTAATAGATAATAATAAAAGAAGCAGCGAAGTTAAATAGCTGTAGCAGAACAGAGTCAGAGACAACTCATGTGGCTAATTGGAGAGGGACATCATGGAAAGAGGTTTAGAGCTGGAGGAAGCCTCTGGGGATGATCTACTCCAACCCAGTCTAGTTACCAGGGGAGAGGGGTCAAGAGAGTTGCCCAAGGTCACACAGCTAATGAGGAAGCCCTGGTCCTGCTTACTTTCCCCCTTTAGAAATTCTTCTGAAACTCTCTCATCAGTGGGATACTTACTACAAGAAAATAAGCACAAATTGAGATCCCTCTAGCACTTGCTCAATGATATTCAAATGATATCACCTTAAAAAAAAACAACCCTACTCCAAGCTACAGGTTAAAAGACAATCTATGTGCCAGAGTAAAATGTTTACAATATCATGAACTGGTGGACCTGGGTCAATACCCATCATTAGTTGTTCAATTAGGGTGAGTGGAGGGGTGACCCTCAGCACACTCATCTGTGAAACAGATGTATAACATTTGCTCTTTAGACTCAAGAGATTTTAGTAAGGATAAATAGCATGTACTCTCTGAAAGCACACCCGCAAATTAAAAGGCCTTATGCAAATATATCATTGTCCCCGAATGACAGAAATTATACTTCCCAATACATAGTCAGTCTTACCTTGCATATGGTATGTAGGAGAGGCTATACCTATAATGAAAAACAAATGCAAGATCAAATCAAATGAAGGGCGTGGATTATTACACAGTGGAATGGGTTTCTGAGCTGTAAGAACACCTACAATTACTCAGACCTGCTCCCCTGCTCAGCCTGGAGGAGGCACACGTGCACACAAAGACCCACACATCCACTGGGCCACACATGCACAGCAAAAGTTCATGTGCAGAGAAACCCTACAACTTCAGCCTCACTGGGGTACAGCTTTAACCAAATCAGTCAGTGCCAATCACTTAAAATAGGAAGATTCCAGATATCCAGATGGCAAAGGCACCCTATTCTGAAAAAATACCACTTAAAATTTCTATCAGCTGAACTCTTAACATTTTTCAACTCAACAGAATTTAACTTCTACCCATTTGAGATAAATTTTATGTTCTGCTCCTGTTAATTTCAAAAGAAGATAAAGAAAACACAAAAGGTAGAAGGGAGCACTACCAACTACCCTATGCACAAAAATTCCACAAAGGTACAATTCTTCAAAGACCCTCAGGAGGCTCAGACAGGAGGACTCCTTAAGTTCAAGACCTACCTGGGCAATATAGCAACCCGTCCTCCACCCTTCTGCCCAGCACCTGAAGGTCGCTCAAATCTCTAGAGCAGTGGTTCTCAACCTTCCTAATGCCGCAATGTGTTTTCATTGTCACAAAAGGGTCGCAACCCACAGGTTGAGAACCACTGCTCTGGAGTTTATTGTTACACAGTCAGCTGCATCTTGTTTTTCACTATTATAAACAATGCTGAGATAACGTAGTTGTATATATAGCAAAAAAAAAAAAAAAAACCACCCCCCATGCCAACAGTATCTTAATAAATCCCCGTTAACTCAGCCAACTACCTAAAAGGGAACCATACAGGAAGAGGCTCCATAATGTTAAAGAACCAGGCACTCTGTGTCAGGCAGGCTATAAGCTGGGCAGCCCTAAGAAAAGCAAACACAGTCTATCAGTATTGAACGGAATTATCGCCATTCATCTAGGCCCATTTGAATGCCAAAACCTTGAAACTGAGTTGAAAAATCAGTTTTTAAGCAAAGAAAGGCATGTGTACGTGGATACCAATTTCTGCCCCCAGAAGAAAATCAAAATATAAACACAAGGAACCAAAATCAGGCCCTTTTAGGATCTATAACCAAAATGTGCACATCTTATTGAAACCACACCACCAGCCTTCTCCATATCTTATACTTATCATGTATAGAAGCTCGTCTACTTGTGAACACAGTCAATTCCAAAAGGCAATTTGAAAGTATTTTTATTCAAAAGTCCAGACTTACTAAAGGAAAAGTTAGGAGTTATAGTCTCAAGATACATTATCATGGAGTTCACTAATCCTTGGGAGCTTTAAAACTTCCACAGTCTTCTTTCTCTGCATTACAGCAAACATTTCTTTCCACAATAGATCAGCCACACATACATACACTGAATCTGTTCTAGCACACACGATCCCTTGACAAACTCTGAAAGTGTTACAGAAATGTCTTAGGAGCTGCAGGTTCCACACCTGCCACCACCCCTCTGTCCAGCGCCAAGCCTTGACGCTGTACAAGTTTGAAAGCACCACCTGGCTTCAGAAAATAATGTCTCCTGTAGCTCTTTCCGCATGCTTGGCTCTTGAGTTATAATTTCTTAGTCCTCACTTGAATCACCAAAAGCCAACAGGCCTCCAGGGCATGTGCTACAGCCCACAGCCACACGTTTTCCTCTTTGTGACTCTTCCTGAACTCCCACTGACAATTCACTCTTTGTCCTTCTGTTAAGTGATTCATTCCATCACAAATTTAACACTCATTTTTCTTACCACTTTTCTATTTCCTTAGCATCTACTTGACTCACAACTCCTTTTACCAGCCCTCAAAATACTTTCATTGTTTTTGCACTCACTGACTTAAAAAACACTTGTAACGTCTCAAAATCAACCATAAGCCCAGCAAAAAACAGGACGGTAGGCAAACAAGCAGCCTCCAATGACCACTCAAGACCACTAATGCCATCTGCTGGCAGGGGGTCAAATCGATGGGCTTTTGCTCTGGAACCTGACTGCACCTGCATCACTGAGAATTCTTTTAAAGAGCTCCTAATCTTCCTACCCACAACAGGTGGGTTTTATCTCCTCCAGCTGCATCAGTCAGAGGGCTATGTGGGCGGGGACTGTTTAAAAGGTTACCTACCACGTCAGTGCCAAAGACTGCAAAATGCAGAAGATGAGCGCAAGTCCCTTGTTATGCCACTGCAAGAAAAATGACATGGTTACGGGAACGTGTATGACAAGGGGCACAAGCCAAAAAGGTTACAGAAAATTAAAATATACACTTACCCAAAAGGCAGAGCACAGGGTAAGTGCAAAACACAGCTACAGGAAGAAAGGACACAGAATTTAATGAATACAATGACAACACAGCAAAAAAGAAAAGAGAAAAAAAACCTGCAAGACTTAATTCTTGACAAACTCAACAACAATACTTGTTAGGCTGCAGACGCTGTGCTTATCAAAGCAAACAAATACATCCTTCATTTTAAAGCATTTAACCCACCTGAGCGCCCATGTTTGGGAGAAGAGTTAAAATCCCCAGGAAATCAAATTGGCCAATAAATATTCATGTAGATTTTAAAAAGATGCTCTTCTTGTTTCAAGTGTTCTCAGCATCTCTGCCCAGCAAACAAAATCATATTTCTAGCCCACCCATCTATCCAGCCATCTTTTCATTCAAACACACTAAAGTAAGCTCAACACAAATCTCTATATTTTAACTTCTGCCAATGCTGGTCTGTGGAATAGAAAGTGCATATAAGGACAAAGGTTAACATGAGATGTCAGCCTCACAGTCAGCAACCTGTTATTTGTTTACACATCACCTAACACCTTCCCTAAGGCCCTTCTTAGAAAGTTCTTTCTACAGAGACTTGTCCAGGCCACATATATCAGCACTGGCCAAGAACAACTGGTGCCCGAGCCGGCAGCCACGCCTTTCCTCTCCATCCCTCTGTAACACCAACAACTCAATGAATATGTCCTAAGTACTTTCTCTATTCCCAGCATTGTGCCCGATGCTCTGAAACCACCACACAAAACAAACAGTGAATGTGATCACGGCTTTAGGAAACTTACCTATTTGAATAAATGAGACATACGCAAATGAAACTAAAAATAAAAATTCCAAGAGTTGCAATACTGATATTAATTATATGGTGGCCTCCCTGTTATCTGGCACCCATGAGGATGGGTAGATTCTGAATAAATGTAGTTTCTGGTTTAAAGCTTTACTATTAAAAACAGGCCTGACTAATTCTAAACTCCTTACTATACCATACCATAAACTGTACTGACTTGATATTAATATTGAAAAATACAAATTAAAATCAAATTAAAACAAAGACCAACTTCACTTACTATAACATAGTTTTACTGTATTATAAAATAGCTTTGTAAACACAGTGTACAATTTCAGTTAAATGACAGTCAATACACTTTGCAACTTGACTATTTTTTTTAACTTCAAGCATGCTACATTAGCACTTAAAACCATTACAGAGAACACACAGGAACTGTGGGAGTGGTGCACAAAGCATGGCCTTACTGATATGGAGCACCAAGTATAAACTCTGATTTTTCTTTCTTTTTTTTTTTTTGTTGGCCATGCTACAGGCTGGTTGCTTGAGTTCTGGATAATGGGGAGTTTATGTAAGAGAAATCCAGAAAACGTGGTCTAGAATGATTTTAATGGCCACGTGGAAGAAAACGGGCTAAAACTGAGAGACATTCTGGGCTGATAAGACAGGAAGATACAACAAAACTGAAGGCACTGTTGTCAGAGCAGGGGACAAGAATGACAGACCACAAGGAACCCATTTCCACTTCAGGAAGACTGATGAAAACAAGTAAATATGATCCAAATTCAGATAATGAAAAAGAAAAAGGGGCCCATTCTAGAAGACTGGACATCCACTCCAGAGAAGGAATCCTGTAGTTCTCAGTTATCCCCGCCAAGCTCGGCCTGTGCATGGCTTCAACTGCCACCAAGGTGTCCCTTCCTACCTCCACTGTCAATTGGGCTAATTTGACAAGCAACGCCCTCTAGAGGTGCCTCCTAGAATTGATAGGACCTTGACACCAAGTTGAAAGGAGAGGATTGTGGTAATTACTAGATGAAGAATGCTCCTTTTGCCATTAGATTATAGGAATTGGGTAATAAATCAAGACAAAAGAAAAAGAAAAGAAGACCTCAGGTTTAAAAGGGAAAAAATTCTATATAACAGAAATAAAAACTCTCATTTAAGAAGTCTACTAACAAGCAGAACTTACCAGCACTAGGATCGTTGCGATCAAACGTGTAGGTTCAAACATTCGCTTCAGCTGTTTCACTGGTCCCATGAGGAACATGGTACTAAAAGGCAAACACATGGAAGCCATTCAGACCAGACTTGGCATGCTGGGTCTGCCCTCAAGATCTCCTGTGGCAATAAAAGCTGTAAAAATAGCTAGTATTTGAAAAGCTCTAACTGTGGCAGGCACTATGCTAAAGGGACTTGTATGCATTGTTCTCATGTAATCTATCGAGAACCTATGGAACAGAATCCAGTACACTGAAGCCCAGGGGGTATCTTACCAGGGGCCACCCAACTACAGGACTAAACAACACAGCAGGGCTGTCAATGCATGTAGGTCTGACTCTATAATCACATTCATACCACCAGGTTAGATGGTCCCAATCTCTGGAAGGTGCTACCTTGTCTCCTTGACAATCTACCCAAGAAAACAAAGTAAAAAGGCTCAGGTAATTTATTTATTATTCATTTATTTTTATTTTTTATTTTTTTTAGACAGACTCTCACTTTGTCACCCTTGGTAGAGTGCCATGGCATCACAGCTCACAGCAACCTTCAGCTCTTGGGCTTACGTGATTCTCTTGCCTTAGCCTCCAGACTAGCTGGGACTCCAAGTGCCCAGCACAATACCCAGCTATTTTTTTGTTGCAGTTTGGCTGGGGCCGGGTTCAAACCAGCCACCATCACTGAATGAGCCACAGGTGCTGCCCATTTATTTATTTTTGAAACAAAGTTACCTTTGTTGCCTTCAGTACAGTGTCATAGCATCATAGGTCACTGGCAACCTCAAACTCTGGTGCTCTTGCTTCAGCCTCCCAAGTAGCTGGGACTGCCTGCAACAATGCCCACCTATTTTTAGAGACAGGGTATCACTCTTGCTCAGGCTAGTCTCGAACTCCTGAACTCAGGCTATCCACCTGCCTCCACCTCCCAGAGTGCTAGGATTACAGGTGTGAGCCACTGTACCCAGCAGGCTCAGGTAATTTAAAAAAAGAAAAACCAAGCTTAGCTTGATTATGTTATAAAGTAGAACATCTATACTATTTTAACATTTCCTTTTCTTTCATAATCTCCAAGGAATAATTCTAGTGATAATGTTATCTGTTATTTGTTAAATGTTTGCTAAATGCCAGATATTACCTTGTTTCACCCCCTCAACAACCTTGTGAGTTACGTACAGTATTTGAGAAAGTTTTAGAGGCAACATTAAACACCTCTGAGGGTCAGCATTTCACTGTTATTTATATTGATTATAAATTAAGCTTTAAGAAAGCGGCCAGAGTCGCACATTCAACCATCTGATGAGCACTTCCAGCCAGACAGAGCAAGGTTTGGGTACAACTGGGAACAAGTCAAGACACAGGCACAGCCCCTTCAAGTGGCTTGCAGACTTGGAACTAGTCAGTGTAATAACATGTTACCTGGGCTGCCAAGCTCGATGGGATACAGAGAGCCCAAAGGAGAGAGCATCAGCTCTGGGAGGAGGAGATTAGGAAAAGTGCCATGTAAGAGGTGACAAAGGATCAAGTACCCACCAACCCAGAGAAGGTACAGATAGGGCAGCACTCTCAGCAGAGAAAACAGCCTGAACAAAAGCATGAAGACATCTGGAGAACAGCAAGAAGTTCAGCCTGACTGGGAGATGCAGGGGCTGGGAAGCAGGACCCAGGTGAGCCAGATCTCAAAGGGTCTTGCCTGTGTACATGCTGACAAGGCTAGACTCCTCCTGTAGAGAGGGAACCGGCAGCCACTCAAGGAGGTAACACAGCTGCAAACGAATGGCTTTACAACCCAGTGGAAAACAGTCTGGAGAGAGACAAGAGAGGAGGCAGAGAAACCCAGCAGAGGCACCTTGTTCAGGTGAGAGGTGATGCAGGCCAAAGATAAGACCAGCTCAGATAGCACCTTCTCTAGGAAGCCCTTCCTGACTCCTAGTCAGGTCAGGTCAGATATCCCTCACTGAGCATCTCTTTCCAGGATATCCTGTTGTGTCAACAGTTTTATTACATGACATGTGCCTGGCTGACCAGCAAGCTCCACCAGCAGGGACCAAGTTGCACTTATCTTTGTATCCTCATAGGCCAGCACAGAGCATGATCAGTGCTTATCCAATAGGCCTGTAAGTCAATCAGTGAGGGGCAGGCATGGGAACAAAGGAGCCAGGTTTAACAGGTCAACGCCAAGCCTTGGTGAGTAATCATGGAGTGGGGGGAGGAAAGATGACTAGTCCAGGTTCCTGTGGGCCACTCAGGTAGAGGCCAGGCTGGTGCTCCCAGTTCCAGAAGCTGACTGGAGACATCAGCATGGGTGTGGTCGAAGCATCAGCATGAAGGAGCTTGACCTGGGAGGTCTGTGCACCCACAGCGTGTGGAATGAGCTGCCTACTACTGGGAAACACTTCATGAGGTGCCCTGCCCACGTGAGCACCCATTCAGGTACAGGATGGTCTGGCATGAAATTAAAACCAGTTTCGCATAGGGCTGCTGGCAAGGTAAATCATGTTAAAATCATCAACTCAGTCTTTGGCAGCAACAATTCTGAAAGCAATGGGGCAGACAGTGCTATAAACCCCAAAACATCTTCCCACTGCTCTGTGTCAGTCCCCTCATAAGGAAAACCACAACCATACACTGCTTTCTTTCTCCCAGGTGCTTCGAAGATAAACTAATATACAAAAAGTTTCGTCCAGGCACAGTAGCTCATGCCTATAATACTAGCACTCTAGGAGGCTGAGGCAGGTGGATCACTTGAGCTCAGGAGTTCAAGACCAGCCTGAGCAACAGTGAGATCCCGCCTCTACTAAAAATAGAAAAACCAGCCAGATATTGTGACAGGCACCTGTAGTGGGCAAATCAGGAGACTGACGGAGGAGATTTGCTTGAACACAGAGTTTGAGCTTATTGTGAGCTATGACACCATGGCACTCTAGCCAGGGACAACAGAGTGAGACTATCTCAAAAATAAGTTTCAGAATAATAGAATATGATTGTGATGTATTCTAACACCTCCTTTCTCTCCAAATCCTTAAAGCTATTGGACCACCCTCCTTCACCTCCCTCAAGCAAAATCCGTATCTATTTCCCCAGCTAAAGACTGCCTGAGGTTGAATTAAAAAAAAAAGTTACCTCCCAATTGATGCAATGTTGCCAAAGGTGTAAAACACTGCAAACAGGTGTACTCCCTTCTTGGGCAACCACAGCAGAAGAGTACCCTGGAAGTTAAAGCAGAGTGTTGGCACATGAGCCACCCCCCTACCCAGCCTCACAACCAGATTACAGAGGAAGCCCTAAAATGCCCGTCTCCCTCCTTTATTTTGTCTTCTCTCATCTGCTCATTTTGGTGAAGAACAAAAGGAAAAGGAAGACAGATGAAAGGGGGAAAAGACGTGAAGGAGTGTAGTGGAGAAAGACAGGAGGGGAGGAACTCTTACCAGCAGTGAGCAGAGAATTCCTATAGCAAAGCATGCGATGAAGCCCTTTATCCTGGTACCCCAGCTTAATGAAGAGGCCTCAACCACCTGAAATTGTTTTAAAAAAAAAAACCATAATTACATACATGTACATACACATTTGCCAAAAATGAAGAAAGCACATAATTAAATTTAGAGATAGTGTTAATCTGTACTAGGGAGGCAAGGAACATAGCCTCCTATACTCACAGCTCCAGAGGGTCCTAGAATCCAGCTCTTCTCAGACCTGTAAGCTCTTATCCACACAGCAGTCTCCTCTCTGGCAGCTGCTAGCTTACCATGTCTCCAGATGAACATCTCCAGAGGTAGAGACAGACTCCCTGCCTCAAGCACAACTGATTTCACACACATGTAGGCGAGATGGCAGATCTAGAGAAATACCACAGCCCTGGCAGGATGGGGGCCACAACTGGAGAGCCATGAGCTCCACTAGGCAGGGTCCCAGGAAATAGGGTGGTGGGGGTACACAGGCACCTGATCCACAGGTCATTCTCAACTACATCAACTAACCAGGACGCAGCAACTGCTGCTCCTGTAGCATTTCTGAGACCTCAGAGGGTGAAGGCTGTCCCCTGATCAGGACTCTGGCTCAAATTATCCACTCTCAGTACAGATGTACAGCACGCTGGCATTAGCCAAGTCACCCAACTGAGATAGATCCTAGTTAATTAACTGCTGCTCTGCTTATCCTGATTCTCTGCCATTATGATGAATCCCTCCCTGGAGCAGGGAAACCAGAAAAACTACTGAAACAGGAGAACGGCTCCCAGGGATGCTTTTCCCACATTAAAGCTGACAACTAAGCCTCTGCACCCGAGACCTTCGTAGTCTGTCCACTTGTTGCAAGTGGACACAGCTGCTACCAGCTGGACACAGCTGCCCACTGAGAAACCAAGGCCACAGCAGGATGGCCAGGCCTATGCACCCTCATGCAGGACTCTCACCTTACACGGCCAGCACAGTCCCCATCTGGTAATGTGCTCAAAGCTTCCTACCACATTTCCACCTGGCTAATGGAGGAAGGTAAGTGGGGACAGAGGGTATGCAGGTCACTAGATTGGCAACTCCCTCAGTCCTGGCTGCCTCCAGCTCAGGGGGCTTGTTTTCAACCCTTTCTCCGAAGTTCCTGCTAAACCAGAAGCTTGAAGAGGCCTCCCCAGGTATGGCAGGCATTGGTACAGAATGGCTTAATCTTCACCCAGGAGGAAGGTATTTAGCTATCAAAAAGGGTTCTCTTCCTACCCCTCCAGATTCACACATATTGAAATAGGGCTCATGACACTGCAATATCTCACACACACACACACAGAGCATTTGCAGAATTGTGTGGCAATGCACGACCCAGCGCAGAAGGTACACTCAGGGACGGCAACACGCAGCAGGGAGCAGTGTTGGCCCTGACGAATGAGCACCGTGCTCCATGCTGAGGAAAACCCTTCCCTTGGAGTTGGCAGGCTCCAAAATGGGCCATGTGAAAATATCCTGTTATCAGGCTGTAGTAGCCCCCAGACAATCTAGTTAGACTCCTGCTACCACTCTTACCACCCATGCAAGAACCAGAGAACTTTTGTTAGCAGGTTTTAAAAAAAGCAACCAAGTTGCATGTTGGGAGAAAAGTGTAGTAGAGGATTGGAGCCTAAGCCCTACTTGGCTTCAACAGGGATATTCAAAAAAGGTTCAGGATCCCCATAAGGTCTAAGTACCAAATCTGAATTGGTCCTGGCATCTAGAATGGTAAATTCTCTACAGGGCAGTGAGAGTCTAGCCCTCATCAAAATCAAAATCACCACAACAGGAAGCAGTTCCACCCAAGATACCTTCCTGGTTTCTCCCTTCATAAAGGAAAAGTGACACGCCAGTTGTACACGTCTCTCAAGCTGCATCCACCTAAATGTTACCTTTTTTTGCCCAAATGTGGGGGGACAGGGATAATTTCAAGATGTGTTTTGGACTACCATGTGGTTGCAAGTTCTTTTACACATACACTCTTAGTCAGGGAAGGAGGAAGCTATTGTTCCATTTCTGTTTTAAGCCAAACGCTTCTTTTTGCCCATTTATAAAAACAAACTCATAAAATGTCTTTCTACATTCAAGGCTAATGGCAGCTGTGCTCGTGCACTTTTTTGAAATTAGAGTAGCTTAAAGTACTTGGATAGGATCTGTAAGCACCGCCCTCACAAACAGTCTGACCACCAGTTAATCACAAAGGTTCTTTGATTCTGGGATGTGAAGAGGGGCTCTTGCCATGTAGTAAAGCTAAGAACTGTTCAAGGAAACCCGACTGGTAAGCAAAAGAAGGTAAGAAAGGAATACTGCTTTATTCCTGCACTTTACAGTAAGCTACCATTCATATCCTCCTTGTCCCTAGAATCCTTTAGAGAAAACAACATCTATATTTACAGACAGAAGTCTACTGAAACTAAACAGTTAATTAAGGTATATTTATGAAGATGAGGTTATCAATTAGAAAATTCATCAGGAGGCTATGATTAGAAACAGCCATGCAAATTTTATAACTACAAAGGAGAGGTGGAAGAAATAGAACTAGTCATACTTTTATGGTTTGCATTAAAACAAAAGTTTTTAAAAGCCCTCACTTCCGGTGACCTCTTAAAGAGATTCTAAGGCCACTTTAGAATGGTAAGGTTCTGTCCACAGAAGTCCAACTTACCACACAAAACAGAAACTTCACAACAGAGCCCTCCAACCCCAAAATCATGAAAAACATGACAGTCAAATCAGTACCGATACCTTAAAGGAGGCACTGAACTAATAAGTAAAAAACTAATCCAAAACAGTCTTGAGGATGAAATCCATGGGCAACAAAATGCTTCCCAGGAATTCAAGACTCAGGAAGTGCCATACAATGAGGCATATAAACAGAAATCTCACTCAGAAAAGAGGAAACTGCCTGAAGTCTTTTAGAACAAGAGAGAAGCACTTATTCTTTTAAAAATAGATTTAATTCCTGCCTGAGCTTACAACACGTTAAAGCCCTTCATTGTATCCAATGCAGGCATTCACCAGTTTAGGTAAAAACAAGCTCAGCATTTGTTTTCAAACTTTGCTGCGTCGTGCACTCTTGAGGGTTTGTCCACTGCATCATGGTAATTTTCTAAATGTGTGATATCTGCATCATCCCACCATCAACACGGGAAGACCCCTTCAAGAGTCTTCAGAAGAAGTGTCTTCCTCTTAAACATCAACTGCTCATAAAAACTTGTTGACAGTCGATAAAGTTTTAAATAACAATGAGAGTCAGCTAAGTAAGCCAGACCTTTCTTAAGCCTGGTCTTGAGTTCAACTTCAAAGTTCTTAACAGAAGCTGGAAATCAAGAAAAAAGAACCTATGAAATTAACTTCTAGGCCTTGACCAATTAATAAAGGCAAGAAGTCGAAAAGAAGACTTCAAAAAGAAGTCACCCAAGCTGTTTGGAAATGTCAAAAAAAAAAAAAAAACCAGTTAAATCTCAGTTCATATAACTTTTGATTCCTATAGTGTTATTCCCAAGGGGAAGGTTAGAGAATAACTTTTATTTACATTCTGAGATTTCATGGATGGGGTGGAGGTACCAGTACCCTACAAAACAAAACTCAGAATAAAATCATGAATACCAAAAGGGGAGAAAATGAGAAACACTGGTTAAAGGGAGAGGGAAAACTCAGGTTTCCAGTTGAGAAAATGAGGGGGGGTCCTTGTTCAACACCTTCATTCTACAGATGGGGAAAGTGATGCGAAAGAAAACACCAAAAAATAGGGGTGGTGCCTGTGGCTCAAAGGAGTAGGGCGCTGGCCCCATATGCTGGAGGTGGTGGGTTCAAACCTAGCCCTGGTCAGAAACTGCAAAAAAAAAAAAAAAAGTTATTCTGCCATCTAGAAAGGGTTAAAAAAAAAAAACTAACTAAAACTAAAAGCACCCAAAATAGAACTACATCATTCCGCGTCGTTCTAGAACACAGGGCATCCGTGGCCAAGTTTCAGCTGGATCAAAACCTTCCTAATAAAACAAACACACACGCTGGCAATCTCCCGAGGCGCTGGGTGTCCACAGAGAGTCCGCAGGGACGGTGTGGAGGCAGAAAAACACGATGTGGTCCCTGGTATCCTGCGGCGAAGTTTTACAACTACAGGGCGAAGTGCACACGGCCGGGTGGGAGAGTTACCCTACAACTAAACGGGGCAGAAACTCAGAGAGCAGCACCGGGCGCGGCCACCAGGGCCCGCCGGGGGTGGGCAGCGAGCTGGGAAGGTTGCAGGACCCACACCCTCTCTCCCGGGTCGGCGGCCTGACCGACCCAGCGAGGCCCCCTGCCTAGCCCGGCGCTAAGGCGCTTTCCCGGGACCGCAGAGATGGGGCCTACGGCCCAGATGCCCGGCCTCCCGCCCGCAGATACTCTCGGACACTACCCCAGCGCCGCCCTCTCTTTGGAGGCGAGGGCTGAACGGGCGCAGGACAGAAAAAGACACAGATGCCGACGGCCCAGGGCAAAGTGCCTGGGCTGTGGCACCTGCGGCGGGGGTCCCCGCGAAGCCCTGCAGGGGAGAAGGGAAAGGATGGGGCAGAGCTGCTTTCCAAGAAATCCTGGAAGTCCTGCCCCACATTCTCAGCCGCCATCCGCGGACGGACGGCCTGGGGGAGCTGGGGTGGGGGACGCACTCACCTCGGACAGGCCGCCCCGGTCCTCGGTGTCCTGCCCGCTCAGCACCTTCTTCAGCTTGTCCATCCCGGCCTGCTCCTCTCCGGCCCCGGCCCCTCGGCTGCCGCCTGTTGCGCTCG